ACTGGAGTCAAATTCCAATTTTCGACAGAATAACTACGTTTCCAAAAACACGACTAACAGAATTGCCGTCGGTACTTGATGGTGGTCGTTTACCCACAATCAAATCCAATATCGACTTCAAACTTTTTTGAATCCCTTCGTTTCTTTTAAACACAATATCTTTATATCGATTGATCACGATATCTGTAAGACAAATATATGTTGACTATAAAACAATATATACTACTATTATCTTTAATAAACTACTATTATCTTTTTACATTTTTTGATAGCTCAAATTATAAATTTACAAAAAATATGTAACAAATAGATTTGCTCGGAAACTCCCGGAAGGTAACTAAGAAACCAATACATATTACATATAATTTATAAAGTTTTTCAATGGGCTTTTTTGTGGAAAAAGGCTATGTGTAATGAATTATTTGCTATTACTTACTAGAATTAATACTACTTATTTCAAATCTTACCAAAAATTTGTACATACATTGTTACGAGCCAGGGCTAAGTTTTTAGTGTTTGTTACGTGGACGAACCTGTGCCTATTTCATCACAGGGGGCCACTGGGATAGATTGTCGTGGACGAACCCGAGCCTATTTCATCTCAGGGAGCCACTAGGGTGGTTTAGACGTCGTGTACGAGCCTGTTCCTATTTCATCACAGGGAGCCACTAGGATTGTTAGTATGGGCCTCCTAACTTTAAGAAGTCGGTACACTTCGAGCGGTAAAAGTGTGCCTTTGTGGGTTCACTTCCAGCTGGGAATATAGATATTATTTTAGAGTTGAAATGAACAACACTGAATTATAAATAATTATAAACGTATAAAAGTATATTAAATAAATAAAGGTTTTACAAATATTACTGTAAGGTGTAGTCGCGTAAGCTAATTCCAATGTTCTCGGTTTTCACGCACTGAGAAATGCGGGGATTTGTTATGCAGAGTTTAGTTTACTTTTACAAACGCTTGACAGGGACTTTAATACCCGATCTCACTAGCTAGACTTCTGACATGAGTATGATCGGCGGATGAGCTGTACGCGTCCCTTTTTATATCCCGAAAATCGAGTCTAAAAGTAGTGGGGGACACGCCTGTTCCTCAACGGAAACTGTTTTCCAAGAAAATCTGGTCACGCTATAACACCCCGTGGGCAATTACGTAATCTGGCCGGATGCATTCCAACTCCCGATAGGGTTAAGAGGTCACGAGAGTGTTTTCGTACGTAACAACATATAATCAACATTTAAAAGACTCAGCTAAAAATTTCGTGCGAAAAAGCATACAAACATTAACATGTATTTACACATAGATTAGAAGTAAACTACTATTATCTTTTTACATTTTTTGATAGCTCAAATTATAAATTTACAAAAAATATGTAAAAAAAGAATGTAATTCCATAACTTTCAACTTTTGAATGTTTTACCTGTTTCTTGGGTTTCTGCTCCACTATGCGACGCCCTCTTTGTCGAAAAACATAAGAATTATTTCCTTACAGTGCAGTCGATGTGATCGAAAACGCATACACGTTGTTGCTGCTCATATTGCTATTTTATTTCGGTGTATATAATTGCCTGTCTATATTCGAAATACTTACCGTAAGTGAAGTACTCGTAACATGAAGCAACCCTCGGCAACCAATTGCGAATACGGACGCAAATTCGAACATTTGTTTCCCAGATAATCAATGGTAAAGCCGATTTTCCTGCATCGGTACTGTACTTTCAAATAGGTTGTTATATAAGTGTTTTCATTCAAACATCGTTTTACTCCATCGTCGGACAACTTTTGGCTACTCAAGTAAATACAGATTTCAGTTACAGGGTAACACTATTCCAATGATTCTTGCCGGTGGTAGCTCAGCGATTTGTGGCCCAACCAGCAAGAATCAATGGATTACAGTGTTCCTCAATGATTCATGCTGTGACTATAGCCAATGAATTCGTAAAAACTTTGATCGGTATAAATTTTAATTTACCCAATGTGATTTATACACAGGGTGGGCCACGCATCATATATTTATTCTGATCTAACAAGGGAAGGAAGTTCGGTAACCTGAAAATTCAGATTTTTGTAAACTTTGCAGGTTTGTAGGGGACCTCATGAGAAGTATAGCGCCGAATGGTTATAATAAACCAAAATGGTTATAATAAAAATTGAAGGGTTTCTTATGCTCTATAAAACGATGCAATTAAATTGATAAAAATTCTTTGTTTACATAAAAACATCCCCCTCCTCTCCACTTTTATTACTTATCAATTTAATTGCATCGTTTTATAGAGCATAAAAACCATTCAATTTTTATTATAACCATTTTTTTATATCTACGATAGTTTTAAAGATATACAGGGAAAGATGGAAACACCTATCTACCTTCAAGGGACGTTCTCATCCTGAAGAACTGAAATTGGGCCAAAAACACAAATTCCGCTATACTTCTCTTGAGGTCCCCTACAAACCTGTAAAGTTGAAAAAAAATCGGAATTTTCGGGTTACCAAACTTCCCTTGTAAGATTCTGATAAAAGATCTTCGATTCTGCTAGATCTATTTTCTTATAACAAAGTCGATTTCAATAAGCGCAACGGTGTATCCGTAAACACGTATTGAGATCAGTTAGTTGTAATAAGGATAGTTAATCCGTTCATTATTTATTATTATTACGTGCAAAGTCTGAACTAGTGTACGAAGCTGTCTACGATTGCGAATGGCTGAACTTAAAACCGAAGGATGCGAAAAATTTAATTTTGATTATGATGCGATCTAGGAAACCACTCTACGTGACCGCAGGAAAGTTGTTTCCCATAACAATGCTGACATTTTGCAACGTAAGATGCAATTTTTCGTATTTTTCTGAAATCTTTGATCAGTGCTTCACATTCAGTATCCTTTCAGGTATTAAAAATATCCTTCAGCTATATGTCTTTTCTGTTGACGAAAAATTTAGATACAAGCGGACACGCATAAAATCATCGATGTAGCCACTCCTTCAGTTATTACAGTAGATTATAGCTGATGGTTTTGATGAAATAAAGAGTAGTTGTTAATTAACCATTCATACTGTGTTTGCACGTGACTACTCGTGGGGGGACCTAATTGAATAAACGAAAATGCAGTTACTATTTGTAAATTATTTGCTTTACTACTCTTATTTGTGATAAATCAAATTTATAAGTTGATAAATTATAATGTAAAATATATTTCAATACTCTATTAGATTTTGTTGAACCGTTGCTGGAGCTAAATATGCATCCAACAGTTATAATCAGAGCATTATGCCAAGTTCCAGGACCATTCTGAATGGACAAGTCAGCATACCCTTAGAGTGCAATGATAGGAGCAAAATAATTAAAATGATAAATTCTTGTGTATGAACTACATTCATTGGTCGTGGTCTATTAGGATATCACAATGCCTTGGATGCAATTTACACTGTTATACTTGAGAAAAATGACAGAAATAAAAACAAAAGTAGAGATGTATGCGGGTATCAATTTGACATCATAATAATTGACGGAAATATTGGTAATTATTAAATCACCAACATTACTATTGATATTTTTATTCCTCTGCTTTATGATTCGTATAATTTTTAATTGCGTCTCTGCAGAGCTAACTTAACACACAAACAATTCACAGGGTTGTTTCTACATGCCAAACTAAAACACAAATCAAGAATGACGAAATTGTGTTCGAGGCTTCGTTTCTAAGTTATTAATTATTGAAAATACGGACAATATGCATACGCATAAAATACGTCTGGCGCGTCGGATTATGTATATGTATATACTATATACTATGTACTTAGGACAGTCGATTCCCAGCTGATACATGGGATCGATCGATGGCCTAGTTAAATTTATGAATAAAATTAAATTAAATGAATGAAATCAACGCGTGAAACGATTGAAAAGCGCGCCTCTCCAATAGAATACCTAACCGCCTGACAGAAGTATTTCAAGCGTTTTGCTCATATTTTGAACAATTAATAACTCGGAAACGAAGCCACAATCGTAATTTCGTCACTCATGATGTTTGTCTTACAATTAGTTTTGCAATCCATCCTGCGAAAGTGTCCCATATTTTTATTAACACCCTGTATGTAGTAAAAACCCCCAAAAAGAAACAAAAATATACGCGTTAATATGTTGAAACACCAAAGTGTTGCATGGTATTAAAACAACAGACTCATTAAAACTTATTTAAATCCGTTACATCCCTCTAAAATCACTGCACGCCACGATAAAATGATCCCCAACCATTACGTTTCCTTTACACACGATTAATTTCGTGACATTACATCAATATTATTTCATTACAGTTTTCCATTTCACAGATTCCAATATAAAACTTTCTGTCCGATTCGACCAAAAAATGACTGATACGAAAATATAATTACATTTTCAAATTCACGCGTAAAACACCAGGTATAAAATATCACCAGTGCAATTGTCAAGTTACATACAACGATGCAAGTATCGGCATTATCATTCGAGTGCTTCGTACGCGATATGCACCATGATGTCACTACCTGCAGCTTGTTTAAAACACGAAAACGCGTGACCGAGTGTTGCGAGTGCAGGCGCAAAAGCGCGCCTAACCTAACGGTTCCCGAAGCGTCGTGAACGTGGACGCGAGTCCGATAGTCTATTATCAGGTATTGTGGCCGTCCAATCGTCTGAAATCGCTGATTCACGTTGGATCAACAAACACGCTCTGGTTGTCTCGCGTGCCCGATAATGTACGCGAGAAAGGAAAACGGTCTCCTGAAGTACTACTTAAAAACATCCATGATCGTGGACGGCGTTCGTCTTGTCCGTGACACGACCTAACTTTCGTACACGCGCGGTGTATCGGGTTATCGATCAGTAGCAGCCCGGTGTTCCCGACGGACGACGCAAGTCCCGTAAGTCCGACTCGCAAACGAGGAACCGTCGTCGGTAGAGGGGCAACTGTATTATCCTCCCTCTCGCTACCGTTCGGTATATACCCTCGTTCCCGTCGGCCCCGCCGTTCCGCTCTGTCATCTCTCTTTCGTTCTCGCCCTCTTTCTCTCGCATCCTCGCGGGAAGGAGGACGAGAAGCAGGAAAGATGAGCGAACAAGAGGATCTCGACTACTACATCATGTTCCCGTCGTTTCCGCCGTCCGCAAAGTATCCAACGTTGACCACCGGCGGCCAGAATCAGCGGGAGGAGTTCGTGTTCGTCTACAAGGAGGACAAACTGCCGGTGGTCGTCCTGTTAGGATGGGCCGGCTGTCAAGACAGATACCTGGCAAAGTACAGCGCGATCTACGAGGAGAAGAGGTAAGTACTGAGATTTTCTAACTGAACCGTTTCGCGAATTCGCTGAATTGCTGTACTTGACGTTTCCACGTCGAATCTTAAGTGTTCAACGGTAAATCAGGCTTACACCGAAATATACCCGAATGGTTTCTATGAATTTGTGCGGGGAACTCAGGGACCACCTAGTTCAGAGAGTAACGATTATGTGTCGATTGCGATTCCGTGCGTAAGAATTCAGGTGGGATGAAAGATATACATATACACGCAATTAGTTTCCTCGATGGGAACCAGCAAAACGGATATGGTTAATTCTTACGGGGCCGGTGAAAGGGCAAGTGCCCAGTGTACCGGCGATTTGTGTTGTCGATACTGTTTATTTAATCAATAAGTATTCAAACGTTTTAAACTGAATCGCCAGTGGCGCTTCTGAAATCGTTCCAATTTAACCATCGCCTGTGTAAACAGAAAGCTTACTGAAAACAATTCCTCAGATGCATTTAGTCGAAGTTTTTCTTTCTTTTTTTTTGTGGCTTAGTGAAGCGGTAATTGTATGTCATATACGAAATGAGTAGAATATCATTTAATCATAAAAAATCAGTAATTGATCATCAGTTCATGTTTATCAAGAATCAATCGTGTGGATAAAAAGCTTTAAATGACGACAAGAAATATTAAAAAACTTGTGATCTGTTATTTGTCGAATGTAGGGAGAAATTTGAATTATGCAATAAAATGAAGTTTTGTGTTCATTGACAAAAACGTTCGATCAAGTGAACGTCATGAAACACTAGTTTTCTTTATCGTCTGTTACTCAAACAAATAGTCAATCTCTGTTAAATATCTTTATTAAACAATAAACCATACAATAATATATAACTGAAAAATTAGTATATCGGGAATACAATTACGGAAATTCAACTAAAAAAATTATAACAAAATTATATCATTGGATTTAATAAACCAAAATACGTTAACAAAAAATTACATAATTTTCATTAAAAGATTATGATAAAAACAGTAATCGTAGAATACTAGATTATTTTTATAAAAATAACCACGGTTTTGAAGTTAATAATTATTTACGTGATCATTATGCAACTACGAGTTTACATACCCAATTACATTATACATATTTATATCAACTGTAATCTCTTACTTTCTTTTCCCGTTGCATTTAAACTAACTTAACTTTATAACTAACAAAACGACGGAAAAAAACTTAACTTACTCGCACTTACGTTCTTTTTATTTCACTTACCGTTGTCCTTCAAAACTGATCACGAATATTAATTGTTGCTCAAGCTGCATCACTCTGCGATACACAGCACCGGTGGAATGTCTATTTTGGCGAAGAGACAAAATGCCTTACATTGGAAAACGATTGATCCAAGTGATCATGGACAAGAGTTTGGATCAGCATCCGATATTTTTCCATGTGTTCAGCAATGGCGGCGCGTTTCTTTATCAACACGTGAGCCTCGCAATGCAGCAGGCTAACACCCCGCTCAAGGTACGAAAATATACTATTTTTATCGTTCACGATATGAAGAAACCCTTGATACCTCACCGTAATTACAGGTCAAAGGAGTAATATTCGACAGCGCACCGGGCGAAAGAAGATTAACCGCGCTGTTTAAAGCGATCAGCGCCATCATAGGGGGGCATCCACTAACAAACATACCGATGTCTTTCTTCATTACAATCTTCCTCTCCGTACTCTGGCTCTTCGAGGTATATACATTATGTTTACGGGTTTTAAGACACCTTCCTATTTTAATGGCTCGAAAAAGAATGAAATATTTTTATACAGGGTGGGGCAATAACTATGTCCACTTTGAATATTGCCGTTATTTGTAACGATATGAAAAAATGTTATATACAAAACTTACACGGTGTAGAGGGGAGCATATTGTGACACAAACATTTTCTGTGTGGGTGAAGGTATAGAGGAAATTTCAAGGTCATCTCTATTATTTTTAATGGAATGCTATGTTTTTTTTATCACGATGTGATAGCCAGTGTTGAGACGACTTCAGCGAGCTATCATTGAAGGTCATGCAAGGTCAAATGTGGTAGTAAAATAAACTTTCTTACATTACAGGAGATGCTCGCAGTGGTGACCGTTTGCGTCAATGCAAAGTTGCAATCTTCGTATCGCTGCATCACGTGCATGTCTTCTCGTTTGTGAACTTATTCTAGCATATGCTGCAATTATCCGTTGTTTCATATTTTCTGGTGTAGTGGGTATTGCTTGATAAATAGCATTTCCCGATGCTCCCCAGAGAAAAGAATCTAATGGGGTTAAATCTGGAGAACGAGGTGGCCAAGAAACTAATCCTCCACGTCCTATCCATTTATTTGGGTAAAGTTCGTTCAGTGCATCTCTTACTCTCCGATCATCATGCGCTGGACACCCGTCGTGCTGTAACCACATCATTTGGCGAACGTTCAGTGGTACATTTTCTAATAATGTCCCCAATCTACTTCGTATAAAATGTGCATATCGTTCGCCAGTAATGTAAGAAAGTTTATTTCACTACCACATTTGACCTTGCATGACCTTCAATAATAGCTCACTGAAGTCTCAACACCGGCTATCACATCGCGGTAAAAAAAACATAGCATTCCATTAAAAACAATAGAGATGACCTTGAAATCTCCTCTATGCCTTCACCCACGCAAAAAAGTTTATGTCGCAATATGCCCCCTCTATACCATGTAAGTTTTATATACAACATTTTTTCATATTATTACAAATAACGGCAATATTCAAAGTGGACATAGTTATTGTCCCACCCTGTACATTATACCTTATAATAGCATAAAATATAAGACAATTGTACGAGACGCCGAGTAAAGGAAAACATTGCCGGAACCCTTTTAACATTCTGCAAAAGACATCTTCGAAATAAGGAAACATATCAGACTGACTAAAAGCAACAGCGAGTTAAAAAAGAAAATATTTTTGAAAAAGTAGGAGAATCTTCTACCAATTTGGAATGATTGATTAATCGGACAAAGAGTATTATTTTGATGTTTCTATCAAAACTCTACATAGGGTGTAACAAAAATGTTGCAGGTCCCTGAAATGGGTCACTCATGCCAGTTTTTCAAAAATGTTATCCGAGGCTTCGTTAACGAGATATTAACGAAAAACCCTGACCAATCAGAACGCGAGTCTGCTGGCCGAACTCCCGCGGTAGCGTTGGCGACGCGCTGTGTTTCTGCTACGAAGCTACGAACAAGCAAGTCGGCAAACATCGAAGGAAACTGCGTATAATAGCAAATGAAAGAGCCGTAAGAAATAAAATCGAACTTTCTATCATCTTTTGTTTGTCATTTAAAGTGATTAATGATTAAAGCATAAATGGAGGAAAATCGTGTGTACCGTAAAAAGACGAATACATAATTCTTTTCTTAAATAGAATCGAAAATAATAATGATTTCAAGTGAGGTGATAAGGAATACATAAATTTCCTTATCAAATAACGTATTAACGAAAAGATAATGTAACAGAAAATGAACAAGAAGTGATCGTAGTGCGGTATTGAGATACAAATCCGTAGATTAATAACGGGCAACAATGTTACTGATATTGAATAAGTCTCTTTAAAAAGCTCGAAGAAAAATTTACGTACGCAAACTTGCAGAATTATCACCGGAAATAAGTCAGCATGCGTTGAATTAAAAAAATAATAATCACCAATAAATTGAATAGAACTCACCCCTTCGGAAATTCAACTGCAGCTTGCAAATCTGGGTCACTAGGTCATGATACATGACGGTTCGTTCCTTGCACTTCTGCAAATCACATGTTTTCCTAAAACGCTGGTTTCTTTTTACCTATATCTTATTGCCGCGGTGAGTGCGAACTCAGAATGTAACGATGGGAAACTACTTGGGGGTAGAGGAAACTCCTTCGGAAAACTTCTTTCAGACGGTTAGCAATCGGGCGACAGAGATGTTTAATTCACGGGAGTATTGCGCAATGTTCTGGTGGTACGCACAGAATAACGGAAATGCGGCTGATGCTGTACAAGCGTTTGGCTACGTGGAACATCTGCTAAATTGAAAACAATCGGCCCATTTCAAGGCCACGAATTTTCATAACGTAGGAACAACACGTTCGATTAAAAATGAATTAAATGATCGTGTCAAGTGATCAGTGTTGGTGGTCGTTAAGTGAAGTGATTACCTACATATGCGGTGGAATAACCCGGACGCACTGGACGTTACGAGTCTTAATTTCGGCTGGTGCCATATACAGGGTGTAACAAAAATGTTGTCCGACCCCGAAATGGGCCACTCGGGGGGGTGATTTGAAACAAATTTTTCCTCAGCAACAATGTAATCTGAGGCTTCGTTACCGAGATATTAACGAAGAATCCCGACCAATCAGAGCGCGAGTTTGCCAGCTGAGTTCCCGCGCTAGCGGTGGCTACGCGCTGCGATTTGTAGTCAACGCAACCGCGAGAACTCGGCTGGCAAACTCGCACTCTGATTGGTCGGGGTTTTTCGTTAATATCTCGGTAACGAAGCCTCAGATTACATTGTTACTAAGGAAAAACTTGTTTCAATTCACCCCCCGAGTGCCCCATTTCCGGGTCGGACAACATTTTTGTTACACCCTGTATAGCTGCTTCAAAAATATAGCGTTAGTCATAAACCTGACCGACCTTAAAGTTTATGTGTTTCGGTATCCTAATCTTGTCACTCGATACCCTTGAATTGTAAAATTTGTGCTCGACCGTCGTTCAAGGGCGTACGACGTCAATTTGGGATCAGTTTTTCGGTTTCAATGTAATTAAACAAGTTCTTATAGCGTAAAAATTTCAGATTTAACATACTTGTGGTCCTTCTATTCTTGATGAAAGCTTATGAAAACGTAAATTTCTTTCAAATATTCCAATCTTTTTTGTTTTATTCCTTGGAACTCCATAGCTGAAAGTGGCGTACGACCCCGAGTGCAGTGGGACTCAATGAGCCCCCGATGATCGAGTACTAATGGTTTAAGGGTCTGCCACGTTTATGGCTAATGCTACATCTTTGAAGCAACTATACCTGCGATCACGTGTGGACTGGGCGCTACCCTACCGTAAACCGTTTCGTCCGTCAATGACCAGGATCGATACAATGACCTAGTGACCCAGGTTTCAAAGCTGCAGTTGAATTTCCGAAGGGGTGAGTTCTATTCAATTTATTAGTGATTATTACTTTTTTAATTCAACGCATGCTATGACTTATTTCCGGTGATAATTCTGCAAGTTTGCGTACGTAAATTTTTCTTCGAGCTTTTTAAAGAAACTTATTCATTATCAGTAACATTGTTACCCGTTATTAATCTACGCAATTGTATCTCAATAACAAACTACGATCATTTCTCGTTCATTTTCTTCTACATTACCTTTTCGTTAATATGTTATTTGAAAAGGAAATTTACGCATTCCTCATCATCTGTTTGAAAAAAAAAACTGTGTATTCGTCTTTTTACGTTCCACATGATTTTTCTCCATTTATACTTTAATCATTAATCACTTTAAATGACAAACAAAAGATGATAAAAAGTTCGAATTTATTTCTTACGACTCTTTCATTTGCTATTACACGCAGTTTCGTTCGATGCATGCCGACTTGCTTGTTCGTAACTTCGTAGCAGAAACGCAGCGCGTAGCCAACGCTACCGCGGGAGCTCGGCCGACAGACTCGCGCTTTGATTGGTCAGAATTTTTCGTTAATATCTCGTTAACGAAGCCTCGGATAACATTTTTGTTAAGGAAAAACTGGTTTCAAATCGCCTTACGGATGACCCATTTCAAGGTCCTGTAACATTTCTGTTACACCCTGTATATGTATGATCCATGTTGACATGCATGATAATTAGAAAACAAATCATATCTGTTTCGCTCTTTGAAAAAATGAAAACTCAAAAATGAGCTCTTATAAAACTTTTGATTATTGTTGTTAGTAATTTTTTTTATGAAACAAAAGTTTATTGATTCTAGAAATCCATATTGATTAAAATTATAATTTCTCTTATCACAGTACATGCTGGAATATACAAATATCATTACATACATCAATTTTCTTGTTACAAAAACTGAGAAAATTGTTTAAATAATGAAAAAAAAATAACGTACAAAAATTCCGAAATACACACTGAATGTACTAAATCTTATAGTAAGAAATCTCCTGAACTTTATTTCTGCATATCATGAATAACTATTTTCTTTAATATCATGTCATTTTTTTTGTTTTTTAAAAATGAAATCGGCCCATGTTGCGCGACAATAATTTGTAAACTTATAAGTTAAATAAGCACCAGCAAATCGATTTACATTAATGAATAAAAAACCAACCTCGTAAGGCCGAGGCTATGACGATAGAACTTAACACGTAGGGGGCTCTGAACTTATTGTCATTTTACTCCCTACAGCCCCAACCATGGCAATATAGTTAGAGTCCACAGTATGTACGGTAAACAGTAGACTAATATTAATCGTGCGTATTCATGAATATGAAAAATTTTTTAATATTATAAACCGTTCGCTCAGGTGATCGCTCACGCATTTGGGCGCGGATATCCGGTTCAAACAAATCCGATCGCGCTGGCGGAAGAATCTAATTCCTGGCCCCAATTGTTCCTTTACTCGAACGCTGATACGTTGATTCCGGCATCGGTAAGAATCTCCGGCGATACTTTTCATTTACAAACCGTCGAATGAATTCAAAACGACGTGTTATGCGTTTGCCCGCTTCAAGGACGTCGAGAAGTTCGCCAGCCGACGAGCAGAACGCGGTGTACGAGTGCAGCTGGTACTCTTCACGAATTCACCGCACGTGAAGCATTATACCACGTACCGTGACGTTTATGTAAACACGGTTTGCAGCTTTATCTACGAATGCCTGACGTCACCGAATTTTGAGAGCCTGGAACCCTCTCAAGAGCACACCGAAGAAAATAGTCCACTGAAATACAACGCTTTGCCGGGCCTCACGAAACGTGTTGTGCTACCTCACGAGGCCACCAAACAGCTGAATTAGAAAGCATCGATAGTGAATTTAGCCATACATATACAACAGATGGAAGAGCCGCGTTCCGTGCGGCTGTCGCAAGCTCAGAAGAAAGCTGGCAAACTGGAAGACTGAGAGGATCGGCATTATTGTTTGGTTTGCTCTCGTTCTCGGGCCAGCAGGTCTGAATTCGTGAAACGAATATAGTCGTCAGGGTTGAGTCTTGCTTATCCCCCTTTCCGGCTCATTTTTCTATTGCCATGTAATGTAACTACGCGTTAGGTGTTTTCAAGTATAAAAAAAAACAAAACGAGAAAATAAATTTGCATTACGATAATCAAACATTCGTATGCTTTATCGACCTGGCATTGCACTTCATTAATTAACAAATAATATTTATAATTTTAAAATAGCTTTGCACATATAAATATAATCATGATTGTACATTACGTTATATTCTTATAACATTTATAATTTTATTGTTATAACCAAGACTCAACACTAGTCACACCTGAACCAGAAGTAACGTTTGAATTTTTATAATGCTACCGAGGACTGCAGTGAGCTCGATCTCTCTTTCCTCCTTTCGTCCTTTAGTACATGTTCCATTTCCATTCTCTATTTCCTCCGTATCTTCCATTTGGTTCTCTCACTGTATGTCCTTGAACGTCGATGTGCCTGAAGCTTTGCAAGTCGACGCGATCGTATTCTTTTTGGGAGTAATAAACTAGAAAGATACATACGATAGGAAAATATACGGAAGTGCAATTCTTACTTTTCGGTAAAGAAACGGAACAACGTCACGTGGTACCAGCTTCAATTTTCTCACTCGGAATTCCGTAATCTCGTGTAGTGAGTTTACGAAGACTCTAGGCGCAGTTGACAGAGAATTATTAAAAACAAAAAAGAAAAAGTTACATTTAGTAATCTAGACGCTTGCCTGATTCGGTCGCAGTGCGCGCGAGAAAGTTACGTCACAAGTTTCGAAATCTTGAGGTATACCTAAACACTTCGAATTACTTAATTCACAGCGATTGAGAATCGGCGCAACAAGCTCGCACAAAAAGATCAAGCTGGTCTTGACTTCTTAGCTTTCAATTTAATTAACAGCATAATTACGTATCGACGAAACAAAAGAATTTTCTTGTAACCCTTCCTATCAGAAAATGTTACGTCTGTCTACATACATATACATATATGTATATAAATATATTTTGATCTGACGATTAGTTACGAATAAAGACTGATAAATATTCACGATTTGTTGCTGTTTTATAAATAAGTTAAGTTGGTAATGAAAGATGAATTTCGCAGTTATTATCACATATTATAATAAATGGCTTCCTATCATTTTTCTTTTAGTAAAACCACAGACGAGATATAAGAATAGATCTAACATCTTATGGGACTTCGTGTCCCATGGAAATCACGCTGGTTCTAGCGCACCTCTAGATAAAAGTTGCTGATTTCAGGAACTACGTTCGACACCGTGATAACGCACAGCACACACACACCCGTGACTGCATATAGCGATACATACATACATTATTACCCCGGTTTCCCTAGCAAAGAATGGAACAATTAAATGGTACGGGAGCTTCTGATGCCCCCGAAGCATGGGACAGAAAATTATTCTTTACCTCGTCTGTGGTAAAACCAATTAATACTGTTACACGTTGATACGAATATCCCGCCTAATTTTATCACATCAGCTTGTATTCCTTAGCATTTTAACAGATTTTTTCCCTAATGTTGTATAACTTAAAACTTATTTTTTGTATTTCTTTGCGCATAATATATAAAAATAATTAAAGAAATATTTCTTCCATCTAATCGTATTAACATTAGTTTTCAGTATCATCAACTATTTTATTTACTATTTTCATGAAAGGATCTTTTTCAAATAACATGTAATACGAACTTTTAACCAAATCCATACTTTATAAAATCACGTGCAGAGAATGCAAATGTATGTACATATGTATAATGTATGTCCTTATTAATATTTCTTATATTTCCAATTTTGCCATGAGTAAATTTAAATTAAATTATTGGTTCAAATATTTTACGTTCTTCAATAAAATAATACAAACAGACAAAAAATACATATTTAAATACAAAATAAAAAAACTCACTACATATGCTGTCTCAGGTATAGAAAACTTTCAGTAAAAAATTTTAATTTATTAATCCATAAAAAAAAAATAAAATTAAACTTAATAGATTTAATATATATTTCATAAATCTGTAGTTTTTCAATTATTGAGGCTATACAATAATGAATATAAGATTTACATTGTTACTTCGTTGAATTTACATATAATCATCATCACTCGAAGAAGCCTCTTGTAAATTTCCATAACAACCAATTTTTTTCCTAATCAAATCACCCCACAAAATATTAGAATTACAAGCTGGACAGATACCTTCAACTGGTACAATCGAATCATTTTTGCAAAATATATCTGCTAAACAAATTAAATGAGCTTCTAACAAACAACTAGGTTTTATACATTGAACTAGCTCTCTGTATTGCACTAATAGACCACATACAGAACATATTATACTGGACTCACTTGAAGCTTCCATTCCATTAAGGGCTCCATTTTGTGACTTTTTGATTTTTTGAGAAATCACTTTTCCACAGCACATAGGCATATGCATTGGAGCTGAAATACAACTAGAATATTCTTTAAAAAATTCATAATCCAACCAACGTATTGTCAAAGGTAATCGACACCAAGGTCCAACTTTCAACATTTCTGTTAGAATTTGTAAGCAGTACTCAAACACTTTCTGTTGTGACTTTTTTTTAGGCACATGCTTAAGACGTCGACTAATATGAGGATGCTGCCAAGCCCACTCAAACTAAAATTAAAAATTAATCAGTAGCAACCTCTTTGTGCTACTTTATTTTGATTGCAAAAGTAATAAAAATAATTGTATTTGTAATATTAAATAAATATATATATACCCTGAGTGCAGATGTACTATTTGGAAAACCATGTACAATCAATACCATATTCCTAAGAGTACAAAAAATTAAATCAGTTGTCTAAAATTGTTTTTTGATTAATAATTAATGAAAATTGTATTACCATGGTCCTCTATTGCTTGTTTTCCAAGCTCCTCCGGCATCTTTACCACCATTATGTTGTTTAAGTCTACGACAAGGATCAACTGTATATCCTATGTATGTTCTTCCTTTGTATTTAGGATTCGTACAATATAACAAATATACACCAAAAAAATGCTCTAGTACTTCTTTGTCGTTCATTTTTTTAAATTACTAAAATATGTTCAAACACATTCAACTATGAATCATTAAAAAGGTAAATATGTATATGTATATTGGGATTTAGACTTTTTATATTCGTTTAACGAAAAAATTGTATAATTCATTCTTAACTAAATTTAATACAATAATATTTATATGAATTTAATATCATGTACTGTTAAATATTTACATAACATAACATTACACCTTTATTAAAAATAATTAAAATCATTCGGATATAAATACATATAACCACAGTCGACTCTATTTAGTACTTGTCGTGCTGAACAATGTGTCAAGTAGCAACTGGTGGCAACACCGCTCATCGAGGATTCGAGATTCGGGAGTTTTATTTTCAATTGTAGAGTGTAGCAGAGTGGGTAGCGTGTAGTAGCACCACCCACTAGGTATAGAATAGACTTATCATCCAATGCTTTTTTCTGTCCCACATTCATAGGGCTACGTAGCCCTGTTACCATTTTAGTGTCAATACCCGACGTTACCGATAAAGCATTAATTCTGAGTATTATTAGCACAAATGAAGTGTTATATATTCCATTCATATTACGTGTATCTATAT